TCTATAACACATCTAATAAAAGAGCAGTAGGTTATGGTCACTTCAATATTATTAAAAAATGGAGTAATATAACCTAAAGGTATTCGTTTAGATCATATCCTAACTCCATGTTACATATTTTAAAAGTTATAAATGAATACCATTTACATTTATTGCTATCGAAGAGACTGATCAGTGTTAATTTATGAAACCATTCTGAAACTCAGTTAATAAATTATGAAGAATTGTATCGTATTTATTTTGAATATCTCAGAATCAACTAACTTAATTTTTCTTTGTTTCTTTCGAATTAACTAACAATCTGTGTTGTTACATACTGTTATCCCTATCATTCAGTTATTTTTATCTTGAAAGTATTTGTACTCCAGTTTCTATATTTTTTTCTCTCAGTAGTAACAAACGTAATACTGACAAAAACAGGAGAAACAACTGAATTTTTGTTGTGTGTTTTTTTCAGTTAGGCAGATACTACATAAAAATATCATTCTATCGTGATGAGTTTTAATCAATTGATAACTGTAGCTTATTTGTTAAGAGAAAAAAGAAGGGTGGGGGAGAGAGGAGGAAATACTAAACACTTTTTTTTTACTTTCTCAACAATTTATTATCTATAACTTGACAGTTAAACACTACTTGAATGAAGTAATTTATATTTACATTTTAACTAAAAAAAAATATGAAAAATGGCAATTAATATTATGTTTGATGGAATTGACTATATCGCTATGTGAATAGTTAACGTAAACACGAATACAATTAAATATACCTGTCATAAAACTAGAAGAAAAAAAAAAGAATGGAAGAATATTTTCATTAATTAAATGTTCAATTATAAGCTTTCTAGATTTAATTATTTCTTGGTGTATTTTTTGTACAGGTTAGAAATGATTATCTCATTTATCGGTTTCATTAATAACTAAAGAAGAAATCGGTAAAAAATAGTTTGTATATATTATTCATATTTAATGAAATGAATTGATTCAACAATTATATTCTGACAAAGTAATTAGATCCTGAGTTCGAACCTCATAAGGAAGTGTCATGTTTGCGCACTACTGAGAAGTTCCATACTAGAACGAAATGGACGTCCATTGCTTCAAGGTTTTCCATGATTTTCTATAGCTTCAACTGACTCATGAATTCAACTATTTAATTAACTTAGAAGTTACAAGGAGAAATTTATAAGTAACACTGTCTATCAATCATTTAATCAGAAATTTCCTAAATTTACTTTTATATTTTACTTAGAAGTAAAGTATTTACAAGGAAGAGTTGATTGTCCAGTTGTAAAGCAGAAATGATGCTATACGAATAGTGAGATACTGATTTCGACATGAACTGTTAGAAAAATCAATTGATAAAAACTCATTATTTATTGTTTATTCAAAATGAACATTTAAGCAAATTATATTTTTTCACAACACATATAGTTAGCAATGTCTCTTACTATAATACCGTAAACATTTTTTCAGGCTTACCAATATATACTAATACAGATGAGCTTCTGTATAGAAATATCATAGTACAGAAATCAAAATCTACAACGAACGTTGAAGCTCTTGTTAATCATATCCAAACATATTTTGAGATCAAATTCCTTGTATAAACTATGATCTTGCTTGTTGATAAAGAAAGAATGTATAATTTTAAGGTCACTACTCGATTTTTTAATGATTACATTGTCGATAAATCTGTTGCATTTCTCAGTAGCTTAGAATTACCCTTCAGATAAAATTAAGTGTTTAGAACTATGTAAAGTTGTTAGGAACTAACTAATATAATTACCACAAACGTCCTACGAACTAAATGAATCTGAAACATCGTAAACTATACCAAGAATACGGTCAGTACGAAGAATACACATTTTATTGCAAACAAAACTTTTCAGTAACTGAATATCTAAAAAATGTTATTTAGCACTTAAAAGATCTTAACCGACCACATGGTTTATATTAAAAAATTGCATTCATTCTCATCCGTTATTTTCAAACATTTCTCAGAATCAAAGTCAACTAATAAAATAACGGAAGTGATTTATAAGCAGAAATGGATTGTAGCTAGCTGTGAAATTCAGGACGCGCGTTTTATCCTATTTGGGACTCGCCAGCCAGCTGTACAGGAATTCCAGGTTTGATATTCACTCCAGCATCAGAACTAAGTGCCGTTTGTTTCAAATGCCATCACATTATCCACTTCGAGCCTCAGTGTGAACGTTAAACCTGAGATATCAGTATAAATGGCTGATGAGTCTTAAATAGAACAAAATGAGCGTCCTGGATTCCACTGCCAGCCACTATCCATCTTTGCTTATTATGTTTGTGACTTAGGACTATATTGAGGTGATTCGCACAGGATGCATATGTACCCATAAGAAACTGATTAATTATAGATCTAAATATCATTAAGAAGATTCAACCATTCAATACACTGAAATGTTTGTTTTTTAAGCAATCTTAGTTCAGGAAACATTTTTTCAAATTAAAAAACAAATCACAAAATTTCATCAAACTCTAGATTAAAACAAAACAATTTTGAATGTTATGCTTCAAGTAATTTCAGCAGTTTTACGTTTCAATAAGTTTAGTTATTCACGACTTAATAAATAACAAACCAGTACCCTTTGATCATTTTGTCTAATTTATTATAAAAAAAAGAGCTATGACAACAGTATATTTATTATTTAGTTGGGGAAAGATACTTTCAAAATACAGGAGGTTTTAATCAACAATTGTCTATGACTTCTTGATAAATGAAAACGTAATAAGATGCAAAAGAAAAAATAAAACATCTGACAGTTGTTAGCTGCCCTAAAAAAATCATTACTGTCTCTTAATTTTATGAGATAAATAAAAATTCTTGTTTTTCATACTCTGAATTCTCCATGTTTTGAGAATCATATATCAACAGTGATATTTAATGATCGTTAATTGGTTAGAGTTGGTGATATGGATTTTGGCTTACTGATTCAAATATGTCGTGCTTGTCGAAATATGTGAAGTTTCTTGATTCGATTTTCCGTGGCATGATGAAGGCACAGAAAAAATGTGTTGACACACTTTGGTTCCCATTTTTTTCCTTTTTGCAGAGTTCCCATATAAATAGAACATTGGTCATTATCTTTAGATAAATCTTAATTATAAAACTTTTTTACAAAGTATAATAGCTGAACTTAGACAACGGTACAGAAGCTTTAACTACTAAGAAACAGTGGTACTACACATTAGGGACTACTGAATTTTTTCAAACAATCTAGAATGTATCCGTTGAATTCATGAGACGATCTAAGTTAAACCACTATTGAAAACCTGGAAGTACTGGACGGCCGTTACATTCCAGTATGGGACTCCGCTAACCCTGATTCTATTAATAATTATATGTACACTAGTGACTGGTTTCAAGATGGATTTCCTGAATTTCTAGTAGGAACCCGTGGCCAGTGGAGTTCAGCCGTGTCTGTTGTGAGCCAGTTACTCACTAAAGACAACAGTGGACGGTTGCAAAATATCGTGGATTGGTTGAAGTTAGACATTAACACCGTTGGGTGCTGGCTGGATCAGTGGTCTAGAGGCTAAGCGTTCTCATACGAGTATAAAGGTCCTGAATACGAGTCCACTGTGCGGAATCGTGGATGCTCACTGTTGAGGAGTTTCATCCAGTATTTTCAGGTCCTTAGTGGTTGTTACAATACTACAATTTACGCACACCCCCATTCTGACACTATAGACTGTGGTAACCAGACTAGCCGGATGAATTGAGAAATTGTTTTACAGTTTGAAATAAATAATCTAACGAACCATTCCAACAATGTGAATCATTTTTTAGATAGATATGTAAGATAAACACCTTCAATAACCTTATTTAAAACAAAGCGTAGTAAGAAAACTTATTCAGTTTGTTTATGGTTTGAATGTTCTACTTTAGTTTGGTTTTGTATGAATTTCAATCATACATTACATAACTCTATCAAACTGATAATTCTGAGTTTATCAGTCTTATCAACTATGGTTTTACATTGTAATCAAGATTAGAATGAATTTCTACAATTTTAATCTTGTTTGAATATCCAGAAAAAATGTTTGACTAATTCATCCAAATCTTTAATTAAGTACAGTTTATTATATTTTCACTATATCGAAAGGAATGTTAATCAAACGCACAAAAGCCATCTACATGTTCCTTACAAATGTGTAGATACTTTTGTGCATGAAAACAAAACGATGATATTGTTGTGATTTTGTGTCCGGCTTTTATCATGTGATTTATCTACCAATCAAAATGCGACTTATGCAAATCTTAGCAATATGCCAAACCAATGACGTTCGACCGGTATGAGCAACCTGGCGTTCTTATTGGTCCTATGTCCGCATAGCCCGACCGCTCGATTCCAGAACACAATTCCAGCTTTCTGCAATATGAATCGAATCGTTTATTTCAGACATACTCGGTTTATATATCAACAAGACAGACCACAACGTACCATAAAATAAGAAATAACATTTGTACACAATAAAGCCAAAAGTGACTGTGAACGTGGGAGGCAGTGGTCGATAAACTAAACACAGCTTAAGAACCGTAAATCGTACAACAATAAATTATAGGTCAAAATAAAGCATATAATAAGAGGAATATAAATATGCATAATCTTATCATTGAATAGATATACCATAAGAATGTATAGATAATACTAGTCAATTAATATGTCTCAGAAGTTACTCGTGATTTAATGTTCACTCGAATATAACAGACATACTTGTGGTATTCCAATTTGTAAACATTTCACTTTTCGACGTTTCACAACATATTTGAAGTTACTTTTTCAGAAAGCTCATGGTATTTTTCTCATTTGAATGAATATTTACTGAAGCGTTTGTGTCAAAGCATGCGCCATGCGCATTGAGCAATTTGAACAGAACTGCATTATATTTTATCCAAGCATATTTTCTACATCCGATTTATTTCTAAATGTATTGAAATATATATATTTTTTTGTATTTTTTTAGTCAATCACATGGAAACGGACACCAAAGTAAGTCAAAACGCAATATATTTTGACATGAATTACCATTTACCTTTTATAATTTATTCCAAAAATATTTCAGTGAAACAAAAATTATTAACTTTATACTTCTATTTTAAATGTGCCATTATTTAGTGAAGATATTGATTTCATCAGTCATATTGATATGAAACTCTTAACATTTATTAATCATCATAAATGTGAATTGAATTCCATGGACTTTTATTTCTCATACAATTACTTTTATCATCTCATACTTTTATCATTTATTTTCAGTTAAGCAATATTTTATGGTTTTTCAGTTACTTACTTACACCTGTTACTCCTAATGGAGCATAGGCTGCCCACCAGAATTCTCCAACCCACTCTGTCCTGGGCCTTCTTTTTTAGTTCTATCCAATTCTTGTTCATTTTTCTCATGTCTATCTCCATTTTCCGGCGTAATGTGTTCTTCGGTCTTCCTCTTCTCCTTTGGCCTTGAGGATTCCATGTGAGGGCTTGTCTTGTGACGCAGTTGGGTGCATTCCTCAATGTGTGTCCTATCCACTTACAGCGCTTTTTCCTGATTTCTTCCTCCGCTGGGATCTGGTTTGTTCTATCCCACAGTAGGTTGTTGGTAATAGCATATAAACAATAATTTATAATAATCATTATTTACAATTAAGTAATATTTATTAATTTTGATCGTTTTTACGGTTATACACAATAAGCGTCAGCATTATTTCCAGTCATCATAATTTCGGTTTTAAATAGTTTACTATTCATCCTGTACTTTATCTTTTATGTAATGTATAGTGAGCTAGTGAATGATTTTCGTCACAGATTTAAATCACTTAAGTAACTGTAAAAACTAGGGAATAGATAGTGTTCATTTTGTCATAATATTAGATACTAAAGAGTCTATATGGCTTGAAGCTTCAAGTTTTTAGGCAATGACTAATGAACAATAGCGGCTGGTAAATTTCAATTATGTCCGTGTAATTAAATGATTATCTTGTTATATTGAGAAATGAATGAAGTTAAAATTGTAAACTATTGAATTCTAATTCAGTTTTTATTGCACGTTGCATTCACCACAATGCAGAAAACAAAAATCTTTCGTTCAATATTCAGTTAATGTTTATATGTATTACTGATTTACTATGATAAAATAGCTATGTAAAGTTTCCTTGATATTTTAATGGTTACCAATGACATCAGTCGACAACAAATAATAATCTCAATGACACTTTACACATTAATATTTAACAAAAAAAAAGGATTTTATTCTATCACATTCAAGTAATTCTTTCCTTAATTCAATTATCCTATTCATCATTGAATATTTATATTCCATTGTTTAATAGTCTTTTGTTAACCACTTAATTATTACAATTTTGTCTAGTGAAATTGTTCACAACTTTATTTTGTTAGAAATAAATACAAGAATCAATTGTGAACAAAATGAATTTATACAGACAATGAATAAAACAATTTTTGATTTGTTTATCTATTTAAAGGTATAATAATGATGAAACTTTCTAAATAATTTCTTTTCACTTTCAAAAAAAATGTGGTCATATTGTTACATAATTATGCAGTAACTACCAAAGTGAGGAGAGGGGTATGCATATTCTTTATACATTCTCAGTCAGTAATATAATTTTAATAGTTGAGATCATGAGTCAATTGTAGCTAGACCGCCATGGAAAACCTGGAAGCACTGGAAGACTGCTTCGTCCTAGTGTGGGATTCCTCAGCAGTGCGTATCCACGATCCCGCCTCGCGAGATTCGAACCCAGAATCTATCAGTTTTGTGCGTTAGCGCTTAACCACCAGACCACTGAGCCGGCCAGCATCCAACGGTGTTAATGTCTAACTCCAACCAATCCATGAAATTGTGTGACACGTTAACCATTGTCTTCAGTGAGTTACTATCTCACAACAGACCTGGTTGAACTCCATTGGTCACTGCTTCTCATCAGGACTCCAGGAAATACCTCTTGAAGCCAGGAACTACTGAGCATATGTTGATTTATGTCAGAAGAGGTTTTGTGGATATTGTATTAATTTCAATGGTTGATATCATTAGTCAATTAAAGCTAAACCACCATGGGAAACCTGGAAGAATTGAATGCCTGTTTCGTCCTAGTATGGGACGCCTCAGCAGTTCGCATCCATTATCCCGCCACGCGAGATTTGAACCCAGAATCAGTCTTGTGCGTGATCGCTTAACCACTAGACCAGTTAACATAAAATGACAAAGTTAAGAGGTGTCGATTTTGTCTGTTATATATGTATATTACTTTTTTATTCAGTTGATCATTTTAATTATTAAATTAAATTTCAAATCATAAAATTGATATCAGTTAAAATACCATACAATATTGGAGGTTACAATCACTGTAAGACAAAGGTATTTAGGAATGATAACAATGAGTAACAAGATGTGAATTCGTTGATAAACATTTCTTGTGACCTTAGAAATAAGAAACAATGATAACTATACAGAGCTCTTTTGATGTTCAATATTCCAAATAATATTACTATATACGAAAAAAACATCTGGAAGTTAAATTGAAGAATCTTAACAAATCTTCAATATTAGTAATAATTACATATTTATTGTATTTTATACTGACGTCAATTGGTGATAAATAATTATGTTCAATGTATACAAGAATATTCATTAGTTATACATCAGAAATAAATTTGTAGATGTCAATCTCAATGTTACCATGGTGATTACATTATTCTATATTATATGTATTCATTATATATGCAGCATAAATATTTCATGATCATAGTGCATTCTTTTTTTGGACTTGCTTCAAACTGAGCCCCAATCACCATTTATTTCCAACCAGTGTAACTCTTTTGATTAGTTTTTCTTTGAAGATTACGTGATTTATAGATAGTGATTCTTTATTGTTTGAAGATCTGTGTAACCGGACATTGTTCAATTTTCTATGCTCTGTCCTATGCATTTAGTTTCATTAGATTATTATGCGGTTCGAATATCATTACAACATTCTTTTTTTTTAATATTAAAAGTGTCTTATTCAAGATTTTATATTTCAACATTACACACCGTTATCGCTTGGTATTTAAATGTTATATCTTCAACTTTTAGTCCAATACATATTTAGTTCTGTCAAGACAGTTTTGGATCACCATGTAAATTCACTTGAATTCATGTGCTCTGAATCTTTCACATATGGATTATTTTGTATCAATAAGATGTTACTAAAATCTTTTACAAAAGTCAGTATATATGAAGTATCGACCAATAAGACAGGTTTATTTACTTTTAAAATAGAACTCATCAATACTTTTCATGATCAAACGAATTAAATTTACACACAAATCGATTGAGTGAGAGAGATTTCGACATTATCAATCGTAAAGGACACATGCCAATAGATAGTAATGACGACACAATGGTTAATGTATCATAATAGTTGTTGCCCTAATATTGATGGCCTTAGTTGATATGTCCAATTTGGTAGTAGTTAAAACGTTTATTTCCTAGTATCACCAAAATGGTCCACGTTGGACCAAATCGTTTGAGAGCATAAGTTCAGATCTTTGCTTCTGTATTAATATATTATTGTTCTACTCGATACTTATTTAAGACGCTATGAATGTGCTTACTAAATGACCAATTAAAGGGTTGAATATAGTTAGCAGGAAACCCTAAACATAAATTTCTTCCTAGTTGGAACTCATCAACAAGGCTTCTGAGTAATTTATTTAAAAGGATTGCTAATATATGTGAGATTTAAACTCAAATTAACCAATTTCACGCTCTTGAATTTCACTGCCGACATGTTCAAGTGTCGACTGACCTTCTTTAGGACTGCGGTATTTACAGTTGTCCTGTCAATTAGAAGTAACCGACCTCGGAATTCGTTCAGCAACAACGTATAAATAAACATGATATTCCTCATTAGTCAGTGACCAATCAATCACAACTAATAAACCTGTATGTCTAACGTATAAACATTTTACATTTATAGACAGTCTTATATAATTCATTGCCAAATTTTCTGTCACGTGTTAATAATTTCCATTTTTCTCTCCATCTTTCACTAAACTGTAATTTCTCAGCATCAACGAACTAAATCAAAACAAAGTTAGCAGTGATATATATATATATATATATATATATATATATATATATATATATATATATATATAAAGTCCGAGATAGTTATCTATTTGTTATTATTTATTGATAATCACTTTAATAAATAAACTTGTTTAAATATGTAGAAAGGCAATTGTCTTCAAAATCATTATCAGAAAGGGGTTTCGTGGATATTATAGTAATTTAAAAGTTGAGATCATGAGTCAGTTGAAGCTAGACCACCATGGAAAACCTAAAAGCACCCGATGGCCGTCTCGCGAAATAGTAATTCACTGAAGACAATAGTGAACGTGTCGCTTAATTTCATGGATTAGTTGACGTTAAACATTAACACCGTTGGATGCTGACTGGCTCAGTATTCTAGACGTTAAGTGTTTGAGCGTGAGACTGATAAGTCATGGGTTCGTAGATGCGCACTGCTGAAAAGTCCCACATTAGTACGGAAATGTCGTTCAGCGTTTCCAGGTTTTCCATAGTAGTCTAGCTTCAATTGATTTATGATCTCAACTATTAAACTAAAAATTATTGTCTATAAAAATAAAAAATGTAATATTGAATCACATTACAAATTTTCTCTAATTGGTTAGTTACGTTTTTTTATATTCAAAATTATAAGTAAATCAGTATATGTGCTCCTCTCAAAATGAAATGTGCCATTATCCCAAATCATGTTATTATTTAATTCATCAGTTGGTCACTCAATTTCTTTCTAAAATGTTTAGTAGACATTATAAGAAAATGTTTGTATGTAATAGCTTTTATAAACAAATAGGACGGAGTCTTTATTGCAACTATTACTTATAATCTTATGTTACTAGTGCATAACTTAATTAAATACATTTAACAAGCAGTAGGTAGAGAAAAAAGTACTGTTTTATTTGCGTACTATTACAGAGTTTTCTAAAGCAATTTCTTTATGATATGTATGACTATGAAATGAAAACCCATTGCTTTGCAAAACAATAAACTTAAAGTAATTTTCCTTACGGATTAACTTTAGCTTGAGAATCAATAGAAACTAAGGCGCACAGAACAACTATCACATTCTATTTTAAAACTCTGTCAGGATTATAGCCAAATATTTCATAGCGAGTATTTTACGGTTGAACTTCATTTTGTTCTGAATATAGCCGGAAAATTGTACTATGATTTTATAATCTAACAGCAACTTTCCCACCACGATCTCTGATGATTCTGGTTTAATCTCTCACAAATTCATGAGTAGATACTAATAAGGTTCTCAAGCTAGAAAAAAACAATTGTTAAGTTCTTATCAGTTTTCAATAGTTCATTGGCCAACATCAAATTGAATTATTGAACATAATTTACTCAACTCTGTGAAATGAATACCCAAAAGAACATTACGAATTATAAAGTGTATTATACATAAAGTTATCGAAATTTGGGTTTCGCTGATTACATAGTGATCTAAAGTTAAGATTATTTATTGTAAAATTTTGTGGATCCCTAGAATATTATCCCAATGTTCAATTTTTAGTCCGCATTCACGCTGTATGATAACTGTTTAATGATTTTCTGAGTTCTTTTTTGTATTATAGGTTAGTGTGGACAAGACATTTGAAAAATATATTGAAATGTTTCTATTTTAGACTCTATCAATGTCACTGAAACTTTGAAATATCCTTCAGAAAACATAAACAATAGTACACTCTCAGTCAAATATGGTTTAAAAAATAGTTGTCAATCACCAAATGAAAGTTCATCATTTAAATTGAAAAATCAGTTTTTTCATCGATTTTTGAAATATTCATCGAAATTTGGCGGTCGTACAAGATCAGAAAATAATTCACCATCATTATTATCATCCTCAACATCACCGATTCACCCAAATCCACAACCACTTAAAAATGCTTATACATCTAGATACAGTGCTTGGGATCCTGTAAGTGATTAGTTAATTTTCTTTGATAATTAACACGAGCTAAATGTTATGTAATTATAATAATAATTAATTTTAGTAGTATTCCAGTTTAATATGATATGTTTGTGTTGATTAAAAACTGTAATTTACTGGTTAAATAAACGTTAATTACTCAGCTGGTAATAATCAATGAAATCTTGTTTAGTAAAAATATTTCAACATTAAAGCAGATCAATCATAGCCTAAATTGCAGATGATAATGTTTCTAATAGTAATACTAGTTCGAATCCTAGTAGACATCTCTCTTCTTTAAAGATGACATTTAAATCTATACAATGGATTCCATCTATCATCAAACTTAAATTCATTATTTTCCTTCAGCCTGTTATTAACATACTAACGTCGAACGTAAAAATATTTTATAAATATTTTCAAAAATGCGACAAACCAATCTTTTAAGTAATCATTAATCTTTCCTCTAGTCTCAGTTCATACTTTTGAAAGTATCAACAAGTTTACTAGGTGAATGTTTAATGACAATAAACTAAACTTGATGATTTACACCTTAGATGATGAAAAGTAGTGTAGTGTACCAAAAGTGAAAACGAACCAATGACATTTAAGGTTTTTCAATATCGGAAACACAAACTAACAGTTAAAATAGGAGCTTTTGGTGTGGATATGACAAATTCAAATTTCTATGATAAAATTACAAAAATGAGTTTACTAAGTAGTTTCTGGGGATATGATATTCCAACAGATACATAGTAGAATATGTGATATTATAAACATTTGCCTCTCAAATAGTAGTGTAGTACTTTGCAAAATGTTTGAAAAATAGTCATGATCGTCGCTGAAAGTGAATTCAATGAATCTCTAAGTCTTTAATATTGTGGTGTGTGCTACTGATATTGATAGATATAAATCGAATGTATCATCAATCGAGAGTGAAATACCTGGCAGTAGAAGATTAAGAAGATCAAAGAGAAGAGAAAAAGAACAGAGGGTGTTTAGTGTGGAAAAGAGGAGTCAGTTAAGTCTACGACAATTGACTGACAGTTTGTAAATGAATAATTTACTGTATCGTTTGCAGATGTTTTTTAATTTTGTATTTAAATAAATTCGATTGTCCCCATTTGTGTTCTCGTTCAGAACAATATGATGTCTATTTACATGATTAAAATTATGTATTTTATTTAGTTGACTAGTCAAAATTCTGGTACAGTCTATTCATTAAATTAGTTTATCACTTTCAAAATAACCGACAACAAATAAATTAAATTAGTTGTATATGGAAGCTTCCATTGATATGACGGTTAACTATCAATCCACAATGCATATATAGTCCATTAGGTCTTATTAAATTAAATGCAATCCTTTAGCTAACAACATGCAAACGATGTCATTTTGACCTTAATTTTTCTTGAAATAACTACTTAATACAAATATCTTTCTTCTTAAATGTTTTAACCAACCCATAGTATATGCTTTTATTTCAAAGAAGAGATTGTTTCACTAGAATATATCATTAGCATCTAAATAGTAATACTATATTTGTTTAACTCTTTGTTCCATTATTTGTGTAAAATTCCGTGAAACACAAACTAGGGAGGGACAAATATTTAAAGTCACCAAACATTTAGTGATTATTAAGCACATATTACAGTGATGACAAACCATCTTGTTGTTTGCACCGCAGTTTGTAAATTGCCAGGTGATAATGTCTAAAACTGTAATGCTAGGTGAAACATGGTTTAATCCGCCAATGAACATCAGTTTCCTTAAGATCACAGACGCGCCTAGCTGATAAATATAAACTAAAACAACATATATAAGCGAACAATATTGTTTCCGATTAGATATTCATCAGGCTGTACTCTAATATACAGTTATATTTATATACATATACGAATCATTAAACCAATCAAGGCAGTTTATGAGTCAATGGTAACAGTGAAATAGATTACATAAATAAGTGAAAAGTACAGATTGGTACTGTCATTTCGTATATGCATATAAATATAACTGTATATTAGAGTAAAGCCTCATGAATATCTAATCGGAAACAATATTTTTCGCTTGTATATGTTGTTCTAAATTACGAAATGGGAATTTTTCAAATGTAAATTTGCACAAAACCTAAGTCTATAATTTCCCGGTGATTATCTCTGACCACATAACAATATTATTAGATCACTTTATTGATTTAATATTGATTTTCACGACAAATAATAATATTATTTTCTCCATAATTTAGAGTAATTATCACTTTGCTTTTCAGAAATGTTTCCTGTTAGCTAAATCACTCTAGATAGCATAAAATGAAACAGACGATTCAACGCTCCTTTATGGAAAAAAGAAAGAAAACTTAAAATTAAGAGTTTAGTCATATGACCACAGTCTGCAACTGACCAACCGAACAACTGAGATCATCGTTAAATAGTATAGATTTCATTTAGGTAAACGATGAAACAATGTAAATGTCCACAAAACTAGTAATTTCAAATAATGTATTAGGTCACTGATTTTTCAAAGATTACAGTTAACTGATCGAAAATAAATGAGTATCTTTGCATCTAAAGGAAAATCAAGCTAAATAACAAGCATATCGATTTTTGAAACACGTTTTGTAATCTAATGAGATCCATACAGTAATGTTATCCCTACATAAAGATATCTACCTAATTCAGTAGAATTTTAAACCAGTAGTTTCTTACTTGACACATTTTAACGTACAGATTTATCTTAAACTGTTCTTTATCAGTTAGTACAACGTTCATGACCTCAGTCGACAACAAACTCTAGTCTATAAAACGTGTTTGGAGCTAATTTATTCTCTTATGTTTTATTGTTTGCTGTTCAGGCCTACTTACAGGTTTCTTTAGTAATATAATTGATATCATAAAAAAATCGAAACAAATGAACGAATCATGATAGAAATTTCACTTTGGAAATCCCAATTACTGTTTCATATTTTCTTCATACTTGTTATGATACCTATTCTCAATTGTTACATATGATAAATCTGAATATTGAGAAGATAAAATCTCTCAGCTTGATTTTCTTGAAAATTTAAAAACAATCATCTGTAAAGTAGGTATTTTATTTCGATGAAGTGCTGTTGTATAACTGTTACAAATCTACATCAACTGTATGAAAAATGGATGGAATAAGCAATATTTGGAATAAACATGAAGAATAAAAACACCATGGTGTTGATGGAGTTTTGTTGTCTGGGCTGGATGTTTCAGTCATGGACCTTTCATCGTTCTCCTGAACAACATCATCAGCACAAACGTCAGGTAGAAGTTCAGTGTTTGAGTTTCTCCACATGTGGTTCATAGATTGTCCTGTAGACCTCGATGTTGGTTGGTTTTTGTTGACCTGAAACCTTTCATTCTTTGCTTATTTATTTAGTTTGTATCTCCCATTGGTTTGATTTTTAGTCCTATGTTTGTCCATAATTTTTCCGATTAGTCGGTATATTGGGTCGATGTCAGTGTGTTCATTGATTGCTGATGAACCTGAGTGCCAAGCTTTTAAAAACTCCCTGGTGTTTTCAGAATTGCCTTTATCCAAGATCTCCACATTTTTTCGGTCAAATATGTGTCCACAGTTGATATAAGTGAGAATATGTTATGGCGTTTGACCGCTAATTGATGTTCATGCGGGCGAAGATGAAGATGGCGTCCACTTCGTCCGATATAGTGTTTTTCGCAGTTGACACAATTTGTTTTGTAGATGATGTTTGGTTTTTCTTCTTTTGTCATTTTGTCCTTTGGTTTGCATAGGAATGATTGCAGTGATTTTGTCAGTTTATGTGCTATCATCCACTTCAGCTACAAAACTTCACCATTTTTTATGTGAATTGCATTAATTTATCGTTGCATCAATAACATTAAAATTGTAACTTTTTTTTGATTGAATAACGGCTTACATTGAAATTTCCATTTCGAAAACCTGACACAGATGATATTTGTGAATGGGGACAAATTTTACTGAATTACACTTGATAATGATAACGTTAGTCGAAAACTTAACTGAAATTCGAAGCCTGAATAACTAGATCTAGTCTATCTGAAAAAGGTATCTTTCTTTGTGAGGAACTTTTAACTCTTAGGTTCAGTTCTGTATAAATATTCTTACTAAACAAAAGTATTTAACTAAACCAATAGAACTAGCAAATACTATTATGAAAACACTCTCCTAAATTTTAAATCTTATTAACATGTTCATTCTAGTATGTAACTTACGAGGTATTACTCTGTCAAATATTTCAGACCCATCTGTTTATCCTTTACAGAATGGAGATAAGAAGTTATATGAGTAAAATAAATTATGAGAAGTGAAAAGACTTTTAAGACTGTATCTTTGAACATTTCTCAAAGGACTGTATAACAGTTACCATCTAATGATTATGGGCAATCAATATTAGAACGTTGATATTATTATTACAATTATGTGATGCACAAGTTGCTTCCAAAAAGAAAGTTCTATTTTATTCAGCAGCTCTATTCTAGATAATATCTTCCTAGTCATCAGGTCACGCTGATCAATATATGCCTACCTGACTCAAGAATAGGAAATTATGGAATCTATTAAATGACGAGTATTTCAGTTTTTTAGGCTGGTTTCGCAATGATTCTCCTGTTTCAATTTTAATAATAAATAGTAACAATCGTAAAATCTGTCTTGTAACTTTTTTTAAGAGTTACCTTTATCTACCAGCTGTTTTGCCAATCATAAACTAAGTTAAATATTTATATAATTAACTTAAGAGTTATATTTTGTTCGTAATGCTATATTTTCACAAAACTCTGTACATAACCTTAATCACAACAAAATACGTAACTCATTTTGTCCAATAAAATATTATTTATAATCAAAACTCTATTAGAGGAAGGAAACAATCACTTCCCAATAAGTTACTAATTATCCATGTCACTCTACAAGCATATGCTAACATATATCCAATGCCGAATATATACCAAACACTACCCATTGAAAAGCTTTATTTATTATTAAAACTAATCTAGAACAAATTTTTTCGACTGTTGCAGAATTCTGATATATATATATATACAACAAAATTCTTTCTTTGTTGCCGTTTGGAACATTGAATTTTATTACCTAAGTGGTGAAAATGGTTGAGTGCTACCTGAGTATATTTCAGCCTGAAAGATGTAAAATTCTCATTTTAGAATTATTGTGTAATCATTATTCTGTTTAATATTATTTTATACATTCATATGAATACTCGTCCTCTTATTCTGATTGATTACAGATGATATCATCGAGTAGTGTTAAACTAATTGATACGTGTTTAGTTAAAAAATCTTCTGGCTTTGGGTTGACGTTGAGTGGAGTTATAACATTTATTCCAAATGGTATATTAGATGTCAACGTTATATCTAATTTATCGGGCAAGCAAGAAGGGTTCTATCAACGTTTATTACAGATACGAAGTGTGAGTGATGATGTAATGACATATGAGAATGATTTAGTCCAATCACGTGGAAAGAATAATTCGATACGACCTGGTGATATATTACTTGCTGCCGGTGGATGTCGTTTAGCCGGTTGCACTCCTGAATATGCTGTACAGTTGTTAGCCAAGGTTCCAGTAGGCAGCGCTGTTCAAGTTACTTTACTTCGAGGACTAGGAATTCCTGGAATTTATTCTGTAAACGAAGATAGTAACTATGCCAAACATTTTTATGAACCGAGATCATTCAGTTTGTGTTCTTCAATGAGCAGTTCCTCAGAATTGTCGCCAAAAAAGATAACTTCAGATTTTGAATCTCAGAATGGATCGAAATTTGCGAGATCCTACATGGAACACGTGAGTGTATTACTTAAAGAATGTTATATACCTTATTAACCCTCTTTTTAAGTAAATGACCTTACTTTTATGTTATATTATTATCTCTGTAATTTAATTAAGATGTAAATTATGTCTGTTATCAAATCAGGGAAATGTATTCTGTCATCCTGTTATAATGGATCAGTAGTTAAACTTAACGATAGAAGAAATCACCATTCGAATTAACACAAACCGTAATGAGATTCACTCAGTGTTAGGTCTTGGTAAAATCCATATCATTACAGAAAGTTCAAGCTGTGATGCATGTCTATTTGACACTAACAATTTGTTTTTCCTAATATAACATCGTCACACTGCTTATAAATGGACTAGTCCATATCACAAAACGGTAATGTAATATAAATCAAGGATAAAAAGTGTTGAAATTAATCGTATAGAAGTAGGCATCAGTATAAACATTTTGAGACACTAGTGTAACAAAGTCTGCAAGTCCTCGATAATTTAGATCACTGTCTTTTACATTCACAAATGACAGCCATAAACCAATAATCATTATATCTGATTCATAAACCATTTGTATTTTCCTCTATTTTTTAACTATATTTACCAAATAGTGAGGGGTACCGTATTACATTTTTATCTAGTGGATGGTGTTACTAAATAGGAGTCGTAAAGTATCAAAAGGGGATAAATTTGAGAAAATCATAATTTCTAAATGTTCTTTACTCGGTTTTCTTTTTAAATGGTTAGTTACAAATAAAGTCTTTCTTCTATTAAGTTGCTCATAATCAACAAGCATCATACAATAATCAGTTGTACTACATTAAACAAAATAATTTCACAGTTAAATTAAATCTTATCACAAATATCTTGCACACAGGTAAACTTCTAGGTACATTTATCTTGAAACTTCATATTTTCAATTTTCACCAATATCTTCATGGTTTGTCATAACTTTTCAATGTATGATACTCCTACGTGATTTTGAGAAAATTAGTCAATGAAAATCCATATCATTTACAGCATCATAGTGGAATATACTTGAAAACTACTGAGGATATGTGGAAAACGGTATATTTCTTTAGAATATTGATTATATTTAATAATTTATATCCTTTTTAAAGCCTGATAGATCATGAACAATAAATCATTAGAACAACACATATAAGCGAACAATGGTTTTCAATTAGATCGTCATCAGGCTTTACTCTAATATACATGAATATTTATACGAAAATGTTAAACCAATCAAGGCAATATGGGTCAATCATTAATCTTTATTAGGATCAAAGTAGTAACTCAGAACTCAAATGGAACAAATCTGAAATTTTAACTTATCATCTCATTGTTTACCGTTATGACTTCATGACTAAAGTATTTTTACTCACTCATTAATTATAAAATATACAAATTGCTTTAAAGTAGTTTAAATTGGCAAGTGTTGTGTTGATTATAGAAAGTTTAAGGTTAAAAATAAACATACTGTCATATTGTACTTTCATATACTTCTAGATGTTTAGTATAAAACGATCATTAAAAAGACTATAGTGAACAAGATCACCAGTGGGACAATCGAATGTATTTAACACAAAATTACAGGACTTGTTAATAAAATCTAACAATCATAATGTAAATACTTAATTTGCAAAGTGTCCACCAATTGTCTCAAAATAACTCAGACTTCACTGTTCTCGCGTTTTCATACAAATTGCATTCTGTTTCCATTCTTTACTGTTCAATCGTCTTGTCTCTTTGCTGCCAGACCTTCTATTTACGACTAACATCATATACTACTTATGTCAATATAAGTAGCACACACAAGACCATAACTTTAAAGGATTTTACTTCAGCATGATCACTATCAAATAACTATAAAATCATGAGGAATTTGTGCTTTTTTTAAGTAAACACTGATTAAACATCAATGATTAGGTATTGAGACATTTGTTACATTTCTTAATCAACATTATTGTTAAGAGACTACATTATAATTTGATTTACCTAGTCTAGTTTATTCATAGCAATAAACGTCATGACAAATTTATCGTTTATTAATATTTAACTGGTTAAAATTAGTCTTATCTCAACTTTAGATATTCTCTAAAGAAATTCTGTTTCCTCATACATGATAATGGACAGTAATGAACAAAATATAACTGCATATATATATATAGGCTATAGTTATGAAATAACTCACTGCTTTCCACATTTTGTTCTTCATTGTTTTTCATCGAAAAAAGTTTTGTTCAGATTGTTGCAATTCTCTACGAACTGTAAATTTGATTAAAAAAGAAAATGATTATGGATTCACTTATTTTTATACGAATTATGGATGTTTGGTTAATCAGGTAGGTAAATGATTCAAATATTTTGCTTTCCTTTTAATAATAAAAAAGAACTACTTATATTACACATAATAAATACTTTTTGTATTAGAAAATGATCTATGTGTCACTTCTGAAATTTCAAACGATCAATGAAGTAAGGTAATTAGGTTTTTTTACTGAATTTTGTTAGTTATTTAAGTAGAAACTGATCAAACTTTTCTTTATTTAAGATTGCTGAAAATCATGTAAAGCGATCACAAATTGTGTCTAAATATTGTGCTTTTAAGATCAAAATTGCTGAATAGGAACACACACACAAGATACAGCATGAGATATAATGAAGGAAAATATAAATCACTCAATGAAATCTTACCATGTTATCTAAAATAAAAATTTTGAATAAGCATAAATAACTAATTTATAAAACTATCTATTATCATCAGAAAGAGGTTTTGTGGATATTATAGCTAGACCACCATGGAAAACCTGGAAGTATTGGACGGCCGTTTCATCCTAAAATGGGACTTCTCACCTGTGCTCATCTGCGATTATTATCAGTTCATTATACCATTATCCTTTCATTCAACCATTACACTTGAGATAATTAAATCTGAATACAATCAAAAGTCAAATCATAATTAACTTCTAGATAAACATAGTTCATATGAAACATAATGCTTCTGAAGTGTATCTTATTTTATTTGTTAATTAACAGGTAACCAGAAATAACATCAATCAGTTAAATAAAACAAAATTACAACCAGGTGATTTGATAGTGAAAATTGGCAATTTTGATGTAGTTAAACTGACCAAAACTCAATTTTCACAATTATTAAATGTATACTTAAAATCTAAATCAATACAGTTTACTGTGATTCACGGTAAGTATTCAGTTTATTTATTTATTTGTTTGAACACATAAATATTGATACAAAGGGGAACCGAATACATATGCGCCACACAAGTCACTTGATTTGTCTGTGGGCCATAATACTCCCCGAATGCCCAGACCGAAGCAAATGGTTTTCTTAGGGGGCCACACCCGAAACCTTCGACCTAAAGGTCTGACCCACAAGACAGTGGAGAAACGTAAGGAGCTGCAATCCCATGATAGCAGGTGACCAACGATTGATTCACACGCCGTTTTTTCCCTCAGGACCCTGGAGCACATGTTCACCATTGGTTTGGAATCAGGGTTTTCCAACTCCTCTACGTGGATCCTCCATATGCTCCAACCACATGAAAAAAGTATTTGATAAAAATGATGCACTAATTTCATTACATTTTGTGCATTCATTGTGAATAGAATTTTATTGAAATTACTTTTAGGTAAACTTATTATATGTAGATCAAATCTTGTTTGGTTACCTGACGTTTTTTAAAATCTAAGAGCAATAAACACTAAAAATGAATGTGAACTAAATAATTTTGAACAATGTTTCATACAAACTATCGACGAATTATTTGTATGATACCATGCTGGCTTACATAAATCTGTGGGGATGGCTCCCGATGAACTCATGGAAGCTCTAAGAAGTTCTAATAGAGCCGACAACATCCCACCCAATCATCTTTTCGAAGAACATTCCACAATCTCAACGTGTAGCTTTCCGACTAGAAAAATTCTAAAAACCACTGCATTTATACTGGATGATGGTGAATGATTTGTTTTTCACTAAAAACTATAAATACCTGAGTGTTTTGTATCATATTTGACATTAGATGAAATAAGATTTCTTTCCGCTCATCTTCCATCTTCTAACTTGCGACATGGATAGTTCAAGCATTAGAGTGATCAAGTTGTAAGCGGTATAGCAAAACTTCAAGCTCTAGATTAAATGAAACCGAATACTGAAAGAATTCTTAAGTGAGAAAAGAAATACTACAAAACTGATTTTCTTTGACTGGTATTGACAGTTGATAAATATATTAGAAAATGTTTCGTCGATTCATCGTGTAACCGAACAACTATTATTTGTCAGATATTAACTTAACGGTAGTAAGTAACATTCGGAAGTTATGTCTGTCTCACCTTTGTGAATATAAAACGGTAGACTTACTTAATTAGTTGTTATCCATGGCCATTTTTCATAATGTAATGAACAGTAAGTCTAATCAAATAGTTTCATTTAATGCACTTCATTAAACAAATAACTATTTGGTAATGATACCTTTATGTCAAAACTAGGCTCTTATTTATTAAACTTCGTGGTCTTTCATCACTAAACAACCATTCTATAATAATTTAATAGTTGAATTCATTAGTCATTTGAAGCTAGACCACCATGGAAAACCTAGAAGCACTGGAAAACCTTTTCGTCCTAGTACGGTATATCTCAGCCGTGAGCATCCACGATCCTGCCTCGCGACATTCAAACCCAGGACTCATAGGTCACTCACGCAAACGCTTAACCTCTAGACCACTGAGCTAGCATCCAACGGTGTTATAAATAAGTCATTTATCTACTTTCTACAATACCTAGTTTAACTATACCATTTGTTTGTTGAATAGTATTTCTATAATCTTAATCATGTCGGATAACTTTGAACTATAGGTTTCTTTGTTGATCTGAATTATTCCTCTTTTCAGATGAACACAATGAATTCATTGCATTGAATTTAATGATATCAATGATTTGTAGATACATAAACCAAAGTAATATACAGCAAAACTGAATTCCTAAAAATAATACTTTGTAAATTAATGTAAAATTTATTTTAATTTCTTTTTTGGTACTCAAACGTACAATCTACGGTTTTAAACTTAAGATTAACGAGTTGCTATGGCTAAAGTCAAATGATAAATTCTTAATACAGACAAATAAATCAAAGGCTTTTGTTTCAAATAGAGCGTTACATATAGTATGTTTTTATTCTGAAGTGAATAGACTTAGCAACGTGCAACGTAGCCTCAAATGTTATTATTATTATTATTATTATTATTAATAGTATTTCGTTTTACTCATATTCTAAGATGAGTCATTTCACAAGATCTTGTCTATTGGGTGTGTACACAAGAATAGTGTAAGAAATATATTTGTAGTTTTCATTGGTTAACTTTTAACAGTTAGATACTACTTATATCCGTACATAACCACGTTTTCACTTGCTTAATTGGTTCTCAGCATATATATACATATTCAATGCCAAACCACACCCTGAAAATGAGGGATAGAAATAGTTTGTTTATTAGAATTGACTTTTAGCAAAATCTGACCTTTAATAAAATTTGTATTTTATTCATATTTCAACTTTGCTTCATTCTATCTTTAACAAAGTTTGCTCAAGTTGTTTAAAACAAGTAAATCAAGCAAATATTCATTTGAATTCTAATAAATTTACAAATAATTATTTGAATTTAAACAAAACTACTATCATACCAACTAAAGAAACAGTAACAGAAACAAATAAAGATGAAATGATCTCTTTCCTACGAACAGTATTAAATAAAAATTGTCATGGAAAAAAATCCACAAATCATAATCTACAAACAAATGATAAAAACACTTCTTTGAATACTTCTGAGTTGAATAATGTAAATAATTTATTAATGAAGAGGACACCTGAATCATGGTTACCTGAAAAATGTAGTACTCCAGGTATAGGTAAAAGTGGTCCTTGTGATACGCCAGATTATATACCTATATCACAATTATTAAATACATCGAAAACAAACAATCATCAAATCAATAATTCTTCTTATTTATATAATATGCCACAATCTGATGTGTTCAAACAAAATCAAATAAACGAACAACAACAATCATTTACAAACTATAAACATTGTGATGATTCTTTATTAGATCGAATCTCTTCACCTTGTTTATCACCATCAATACAAATGAAAAATTCTCATAATCCAGTGTTGAATATTCCTGAAATCAATACTAGTAATACAAATTGTAATAATTTCACTGAAGAAAATGTGAAAATTCGTTATAGTACAAAAGATGGAAAGTTAAAATTTGTTAAAGAAAATACTGAACAAAATTTAGTAAGTGAATGATATTATTTTATCGTTATAGGGTTATGGAGATGGTTGAGTTTTTGATTGAGATTATAAAATTGATCAATGTAAGACCACCATTGAAAACCTGGGAGCACTAGATAGCCGTTTTGTTCTAGTATGGGACTCCTTACTAGTTTGTATTCACGATCCTATGCGTGGGATTCGAATCCAGGACCTTCGGTATCTCACCCGAATGCTTAACCTATAGACCACTGAGCCGTCATCCAAAGTTATTATTGCCGTTTGTCATGTGTTAATGTTATACATTTGATTCTTCGCTAGTCAATTCATCTTATTTATATGGACAACTGAAACAAACCTTTTTTCTTCTTAAAGTTGCAATAATATGTAATGGTTTTTTTTTCATTGTAGTCTGTTTATTACGCAATGACATTTTGTTACTGATTTTATTCTTGAAATGTTTTCTTTTTTATGATGAAGCTTATTTATTATGACCACTAGGAAATCGAAAAGTAAACATGTTAGCCATCTGCAGACTAATCAATTTCTAAAGCTTATAATAATAACAATTATTACTATTATATGTAACGACATGAAGTCTTATATAGTTACTTAATTGTTAACAGGTACAGATAACATATTTCTAAACTGAAACTTTATTATACAAAATTATTAATTGTACTCAGTCAGTAGGAAATATATATTAGACTTTAATAATTACCAACCAAATGGGGTGATTTTGGATAAAGTGAGATAAACATTTTTGCTGAGTTAAGGGGGCTTGATAACACCTTGTACAAATCTGCAACTACTTCTGTCCTGGGCTCTCCTTTCCAGTTGTTCCCAAGTGCTACTCGTCGGCTCTATTACTCCTCTTGATTTGTTTATTTGCTGTTGTGTACCTAGACTGTACCTTAACTTTCTCTGCTCTTTTTCGGCTAATATTACTTGCTGTCTTCTTCTTCTTCCCCTCTTGAATCTTTCTCAGAGTATCAATAGAGACGCACTTTTATACTGGTGTTTACTGAGGCCCATCAACTCCTAGAGTGTCAAATTGATTGTTTAATCAGTTCCTCTCTAATCCTTTTCTACAATGGTATTTTTCTTTTCTTAATAGACATTGTAAGGTTTAATACTTATTGCTGAGATGTATGTGGAAAACACTGGGTTTGTTAATAACTCGAAGAAAGTTTTTATTGGACTTTTATATTGCTATCTGTCCAGTTGTCTAATGCTATTCTAGCTTAAACTTTAGCTTTTCCACCACCAGATGGTGATCTGAAGCTATATCGACTTCTTTCATTGCTCTTATTTCTCCCATGGACCTACAAACAATTTAATTGACGTGGATATTACCGATTCGGTTCTCTGTAGTGCAGTCCGAGGAAGCCGATGTAGCTTTGTTTATGCGTTTGTAGGGTTAGATTCCACCTATAACCACCTTTTAATCATTTAATGATATATCACAACTGGTTTACGTAACTTATCTTTCAGATTAATTTCAAAGAATCGGAAACATTAAGATATCAACAGTTTATTAAATTTACATTCCTAGAGTAGTCCAAAAGGCACATAATCATTTTAAACCTTGTAAATATTATCATTCTTAATACTGAAAATAATAAACCTATGGTCGATTAGCTATAGTTCACTTTCTATATGGTAAGAATGTAAAATTATTTCATGACAATTCTATAAGTTGCTTTTTTGGAATGTAAAAAACAAGTGAGTGAATTCTTAAATGAAGTGTTCGATCTATAACATTTCATATTAGAATAAAAAAAATAAACTCAATGTTCATCATATGAATAGATAAAAGTATTTAGAGTGGAATTATTTGTCAAGGGTTTTACTTACTTACTTACTTACTTACGCCTGTTACTCCTAATGGAGCATAGGCCGTCGACCAGCATTCTACAACTCACTCTGTCCTGGGTCTTCTTTTCTAGCTCCATCCAATTCTTGTTTTACAAAGCTATTATTCATAACCTAAACATAGAAAAATTCTCTTCCTTTTAAACACCTATTGTTTCAATAAACTATAATCTTTGTTATCAGAAGAGGTTTTTGTGAATATTATAGTAATTTCAACAGCTGAAATCATGAGTCAACTGAAGCTAGATCACCATGGAAAACCTGGAATCACTGGACGACTGATTTGTCCTGCTGTGAAACTCCTCAGCGGTGCGCATCCACGATCTCGCCTTGTGAAACTCAAACCCAGGACTTTTGGTCTTGCGCGCAAGCGCTTAACCACTGAACCACTGAGCCGGCCAGCATCCAACAGTGTTAATGTTTAACTTCAACTAATCCACGAAATTGAGAGACACATCCACCACTGCCTTCAGTGAGCTACTATCCCACAATCTTTGTATTTGAGTGATTTAAAATACTGAAGTACCGTTTACAACTTCATCAAAAGTCTTAACTGTTTATACATGAAATAACCAGTTGGTAAATTCGTGAACTTTTACAACAATATTTCATCTAGAAACTTCGGTTAAGTTTCAGTCCATTAGAATTAATGTTACATGTAGTATATAATAATGATGTAGAATTCAGATATCCCAAATGTAAATATCCAATGATCTCTATAAACGTTAAAAATAATGGAAAATATCATAAAAAATTTGTTAACTCTTAATGAAAAACAAGTATCCTATATATCTTTGATTAAAATAAATGATCATAAGTCAAATCATTCTTGCAATTTGAACACTGAAACGTTTTACATATTCTCCTTAATCAGAAAGAAAATCATTTATCACTTTATTTAAATATGTACAATATAAATTTTAAGAAGACACTATTTTCTTATAAAACTCTACTTTTGTAAACATAACTTACTTTTTTTAGCCATGTATTATACCCATGGAAGACAATGGAAGTTCAGGCGAATCAAGTCAAAATTTAGTGGTAGGTGATCTGTTAGTGGCTATTGAAAATCATTCTGTACTGAGTTGTAAACCTAGTGAAATTGAAGAATTACTTCGATCAGTAGCGAAGAATAATAATGGTTTTGTTACGTTGACTGTTCGTAGAATACATTCATCAGATAAGGCTGAATGCGTGAAAATATCAGGTAAGTATCAAATTCGGTGTACTTTTTCGAAATTTTGATTGTATTTATTATTTACGATTACTGTAACAAAATACTTGGGATTTTATTCTAGATCATGACAATATCAATGTGTTTGTCCTGTAGAAAAAATATTATTGAAATGAATTCAGTCAGAGTCATGACGCAGTGATCTTAATGTGACTAACTAATCTGCTTCGATGCATGTTGTTTGTGCGAGGGCTAATAATGCTTCCCGTCTTTCCGGACGAACGTGAGTGAAGTAAAGTTGATGCTTGCAAATTATTGGCTGAAAGATGACTGCCATAACCCTTAAGCTATTGTTTTAAAGTCTGAGGGAAACGTTTTTAACAGCCAAGCAGAAACTTGACTAGAATTATATGAAGCTTTTAATATAATCTGAGGTTCTAAAAACAATGTTTTGTTTTGTTTACGAATGAAAGCTAATTGTGTTCTACTTCCATCCATTTTCTTTATGATTTTTGTAATGAATAACACCAGAGACAAGAAGAAAAATTTAGTAGATAAACTGGAAATTATCTCTTTTAATGGTCAGAATGAATTTAAACTTATTCTCTCAGCTGAAGCAATTAAGCGATACCGATTCACCAGATATGTAACGTTTCTGATTAAAGTTTGAAAGACAAAATGCGTAATATGGTTTTCATGCAAGATTTTATAAGATTTTAAAAGGTTAATATATTTCAAATTATTACTGTTGAATGGAAATTAATCTAATGTATATTAATAATCATTTAGTGTTTTATAATAAACGATCAATCAAACTGTTAGTAGTATTTCTTACTATACTTGATACTAAAACCAAATTTTGAAATTACACATTTGGTGGTAATGACTCTCTTTTGAATGTTAAACTACCTTATCTTAAATGATTAAGAACAATTTATGGATGAAATAATTTAGTATATCTCTTTATTTAAATTTCCAAAAGTATAACTGAATACAACCAGATTTATGATCGCATACGTATAAGTATATCAATCATGTAAGCAAAATAACATAAACAATGATTTTAAACGCATGAAAACGAGTTCACACTAATGTTTTCAGTTACTATTGCGACTTTTATTTATTACTACTGAAATGTTTTTAGTAGTATAAAATATTTAACGAAGTTATCTACGATGTTTACGTTAAGTAAATAGAATATTCAATATGTTTCACGGACTAGCGACGAAAACGTTGTAATTTAAAGATAAATATTGTTCAGAATTCCTTATTTCTGTGTAATTACACAGATTATTTGCTGTATCCTTAAGTTTCTTGACCAGTTTTGTGAAATCTGCAAATAAATAATTTTTTTTAATCCAATATAGTGCACAATGTTTCTAAAGACTGTCGGAATTCGAAACAATATTGAAGCTTATAGGGTAGATATTTCGTTAATTCTTATTGCTTTGTGGAGTTGAACAAACTGTGTATAGAAATAAATAGGGTTAGTAAAATATATTCACTTCACTTCCATGATATGTTTCAAACTAATGAAGGTCAGTTCTCAGAAATAAGATAACTGAAAGTACTTCAAAGAGATTAATCCATACAGCATATTATAAATTATACTAAACCTTGATAGCCAATATACAGGGATGATCGAATAATTTTTAACTGAGTTCCAGAATATTAACAGCAAAATAAAATCTTAAACAAATTTGGAAACTAAGTTTCAATTTAAGCTGACTAACTATGGTCGTAAACAACACTCAAAAGGGTTGTAAACAAGATAGTTGAAAAATGCTTTTTTTGTTTTCTAACTATCTATCACAAATTAGCTTTTTAACTAAGTGAATGTCAGTTTAATTGAGTTGAAATTGTATATTTTTGGCTTTATTCAATACAGGCAAGTGACAACGGTAAACTTTTCAACTCACAACTAACAGGACAGTCCGCAGCAAGAGAACAAATATTTATCCTAACGTATTCTTTCGATTAATAAACATACTGTTATAACTCGTGCCCTGTGTCCTTATTAATGTATAAAGTAATGATACCGCCAATTATAGAACAGCAGCCTCAGCGATATGAATCATTTATTTCAAACATACTGGGTTTATATACCAGTCAGACAGACCACATCGTACCATAAAATAGTAAACAACATTTTTACAAGATTCAGCCAAAAGTGGCTGTGAATGTGGGAGGTAGTAATTAATAGACTGGGTATAACTCAAGAATGGTAAATCGTATAATAATAGTTCATAGGTCAAAATATAGCTTATCATAAGAGGAACACGAATATGAATGATCTAGTCATTTGACCATTATACAATAAAACTATACGTATAATATTGATCCATAAATGGATCCCAAAAGTTACCATTCATTATTCTCATCGGGATATAACACATACATTATCAAATGTCGTTTGAGGTGACAGGAAGCTAGTCTATATTCTCATTTTCAAAGAAAAACGTTGATGTTCAATGCAGATTTCAACACTAGATTTTATGTAGTCTTATTTTAGGTTCTAGACAAATGCATAGTACCTGAATGTGAAGTCCATTTGATACATTTTTAGTAAAGGATTTATCTTCATAATTTATAAGTAATGATCTTACTTAAAATATTTTCCTAAAACGAAATATCCCTATATTGAGAAATGAATTCAAGGATTACCTTCTAAGAAGAACAACGATCAGAAGGTAAACTGTACATCTGATTTTGTTCATGATTACATACGTTTTAAAGCTTTTAATTTAAAAATCATTTCTATAAATGACCTTTAACAGTATATTTGATTTCAATTGTCTTATTTATGTTTGATATATTACAGAGATACCGACAAAAGATTCAATTAGTTCAAACATAATCAATGTGAAGTTATTAAAAGAGAAAGATGAAGGTTTTGGTTTTGTGATTGTCAGCTCTTTGAATAAAGATAAAGCAAGTGAAATAGGTAAGTATAAATATGACAAAATATAACAACATTCTAACTACTAAAAAAATAGACAATTAGATAAGAATTAACAGAGATGGTGGAGAAGATTTGTAGCTCAGGTGGATGATTTCTGTCTGAAGTTTGTTCTGATTATGTCGTTCAGAAGAACGGTGAAAGCTCCACGACCAAACCATCCAGCTCAGAGAACAAAACTCCATCAAAGGAATAAACAGAAAGTAAACAAATGGATATTTTGAACTAGCGAATGTTTCCATTTAAATAACTATGATATATCTTATGTATTTATTACATAATACTGACTAAATAAGAAATATTTTGGAAAAAAGAAACATATGAGTTGGAAACAGTTTTCAAACCTCTTGACGATTAGTGTATACCTAGTATTAAGCTTTAAGTTTACTGATTGAATTTCACTTGATCATTGAATGAATATGAAAATTCTGAATTACATGACTCAAGCTAACTTCGTATATTCTTTAAGTTCTCCTAAATTTCAATTTTTTTCATATATTGTTTACCTGCTTTATTTGTGCTCTTTTTGTTAATGATATTAACATTAAATAACCCTCATTCATCCATAGCTCGTTATTAAAGTGTAATTACTTGATTTAGTAACTTTGTTTGTTGTTTTTTTGTTTATTTCTGATTTCATCAATGTACTGTATATCAAGTAAAAAGAGAAATAAAACCACAATCTAATTTCTATATTATCTAAAGTTATTTCAAAGTAGATAGGGCTTAAGCAGTTTGTTCACAACCTCATTGTCAAGTATTGTTAACTTGATTATTATCATCGAAATTAATTCATCATCTGGGGACGACCACAGGGAAACTCATGGAAGCTCTGAAAGAGCCGGAGACATTCAATCCAATAATCTTTTCGAAGAACATTCCACAATCTCAGCGTTTAGCTTACCGATTGGACAAATTCTAAAAACCACTGCACGTAGATTGGATGATTATAATGATGATTTCGTTTTTACTTAAAACGATAAATCCTCGAGTGTTTTGTATTATATTTGACACTGGTTAGGATAGAATTTCTTTCACTTGTCTTCCCATTTATGACTTGGAGGGCTCTAGTGTTTGAGTGCTCAGGATGTACGCGGTTCTAGTCCTAGATATAACATATCACTTATAAAAAATATTTGAAAACCTTTTACATTATTCTACAGGAGTAAATAATTATGCTAATTTAAATACAAATTAACTCGTTCAAGAAACATCCCATAAAGAAGTCAATCATTCATTAAATGATTCATGCAGATTTCCAGTATAAACTTTCGTTAGAACTAGAACAAATTATCTTCACACTGTTGTATGCCAAGACATATATTCTTATCTATATTTAATGGTCATATATAGAATCTCAAACAATGGTCTGGAATATATCACAAATTCAAACGTAGGTAGCAATTGTACTTGTCATATATCTGTGCTTTAAATAAATAACTGTCTACCAATATTTTAATATTGTAATAATCCAGTTAGTTAAAGGCATATCGAAACATCAAAATTACTCAAATAGTTAAATGCATGCTACTATTAGTTGTCACAATACTGGAAATGTAGAAAATGATAGTTGTTTATATTCTAGTATTGTCTGACTTCGTTTACTGAGAATTTTATGTCTGAAATTTCGTTTTGAATAACCTTTTAAAACATTTTATTTTTATTATAAACCTAAATGATTACCGAAATTCAAAGTGTCTTTATCAGTAGTTATAATATTTATCTCATATTTTGTTTCTATTAAAAGGTCGTATAATTCCAGGTAGTCCAGCTGATAAATGTGGACAATTAGAAGTTGGACAACGTATACTGGCTATAAATGGTTATTGTTTATTAGGAATTAATCATATGGATATTGTAAATCTTATACGTCAAAGTCAACAACAATTAATTTTGACTATTGAAAAACCTGGTAAATTATATGTTATGCTCTAAAAAATTTGAATATAAAATTTGACAGAGAAAACAAAATGAAATTGGTTAAGATCCTTTGTATCTCTTACTATCAAAAACGAGCTATAATTATAAGATAATTATTCTATACATGTTACATAACACTACTATCTAATGTTTATTTCCTTACATATCGTACATCTTTTTCCTTACTCTTCTATGCATCATACAAGGTTTTCACAAGTTCAATTTTAACTGATGTAAACAATTGATTATGTATATTGGAGTTCTTAGAATTTGAAATAAATGTTCATAACTACTTTTAACAAAGGAAACTTGGAATAAATTGTTTACCTTATTTTAAAAAATCATAAAGAAAAACCTCGGCTTAATAGAAGTCATCTATCGATGAATGGATCATCACAGTAATCAACAGTTTTCACTATAAGTTGACATTATAGAGAAACTATTTAGTTATATTCACTTGATGTCGTTTTACTTGTATCTTTCCATTGTTATTTAGGACTGCAGTTAATCAGTCCCTTGTTGGCATATGTGCATCCTGGGCGGATTACCTCGATATAGCCTTAAATCACAAGCTTTTTAAGCAATGATGGATCGTAACTAGCAGTGGACTTCCTGACGCGCGTTTCGTCTTATTTGCGACTCGTCAGCTGGATGTACTTGCATCCCAGTGTTGATGTTCACTCGGCGACTCGGACCCAGTACCGTTCAGTTCAAATGACATTGTGTTATCCACTTAGCTACTGAGTCCTGATAATGCAATGATGCTTGAAGTGAACGGTACTGGGTTCGAGTCCCGGAGTGAACATCAGCTCTGGGATACAGGCACATCCGGCTGATGAGTCCCAAATAAAACGAAATGCGCGTCGTGGATTCCTTTGCTAGCCACCATACATCTATTAAAGTAAGCATCTATATTATAATGATGCATAACACTGTATCACAAATTCTACCTCTTAAATTACAGGTTCTTTGTCTAATGACCAACATAAAAGCCGTACTAACAGTTTAGATACAGATGAAAACCTTATCCCACCAGCTACTTCTACAATGATTTGTTCCAATCCAACTGTATGTTTTCGTCCTACAAATGGTTTAAAAACTACAGAAGTAAGTTACAGAGAATATTTATTCAAAAACTATTCATCAATGAACGTATTACTTAACAATCCACGTATTAATAAGTCTATTCTTGTCAAATTATGAATTCTTGTGATTCAATCGACAAAGTATCTGTATTAATGTTGAATTTTAAATAATTTAGGTTGTAAGCAGCTGATGAGAACCTAACGAAATAAAATGAATTCATATTATTCTGCACCAATTTTTGTTCTTGCTCTCTTTAAAATAATAAAGGGAACTATGTGTATAAATATTAACACCTTAAATCCTACTGCAACCTAGATTCTAATCAAGTTTAATAATATTTATGTCAAAAGTCCTGTTCACTATTCAGCTATTTTCATTTCACAATTTAGTATCAAGATTCAAATCATGTAGTAAGGCTTAATGTTGTTTTTTCGATTCTGGGAGTCTCAATTTATCACAAGTTAATCAGAAATTCATTATAATGTTTACATTTAATAAGATTTTTTTAAAAACTAGTGCAGTATTCCCTTACAATCATAATTCTTCCAGAATATAGAGTCAAATTTATCGATAAATCAGTTCCATTCTGATTGAACATACAAATGCATAAATCAAATAATTAACTATAAATTAATTTAGATAATCATTCGTAATTAAAAATAGCAACATGATGAAAATTCTCGACCTTTCTGAATGACCAACATAATAAACTGTACACATCAATGAATTAGTAAAGAAAAACTACCGAATCAAGCAATTATATCCTAGCTTCGGGTAAAATGAAGCAGAACAAAATAAAGTGTAATAAGATTTGTGAGTTTGATTAAATGATAATGGACACAACTTTTCAGTGGTTATTTAAAAGGTTACTTGGCATAGATATAAGAATAAATCATCAAACTCTATAAATCTAAATTTATGCATGTGCTTGAAGTATCACAGCAAGATATAGACGTAACCTGATCTTCGATAAATCCGTTTGGAGCATTATTGAAAGAATAGCATTTGTCGTTATAATTCTAAATTCAAACTTACGTGAGCTGATTGATTTATTCATAAGTAATTAGATAAAAAATGTTCTGTTTTATTTAATATGTTTTCAATCGAGCCCCCTAAAACTCACTTGCGAATTCAGAAAAGATGAAAGTTTAAGAGTATCTCAATTTAATATTTTGTTTAATTTCAAACTAGCTGCTGGATGAAAACTGTGTTGTAAAGCCAAGCTTGAATAATATTTCGACTAGAAGCTTATATTCAATTACATTACAACGTGGTCCGAATGGTTTTGGCTTCTCCGTCCGCAGTGGATTCGACTCGAACACATCTCCGTTAATTGTATATCGAACAGCGGATAATGGACCGGCTTTTCAAGAAGGACAAATGAAAGTGAGTTGTATACCAATATGACAACTGTTAATGTCTTAAAAATTATTTACGCCACTACTCAAATAGTCAAGCACCGTTGAGATGGCCGTTATGTCCGGTTTAAATAAGTCTCTAAGGAACAAGAACGAAAAATTTACAACTTCGAGTTGAACACACTAAGAAACTAACTAATCACTCCAGTTTTACCGAATGACCATAATTGAATTATGCTTTGGCTTTCGGTATCATACAGATTGTTGTTATCGCATATTACTTACTTACTTACGCCTGTTACTCCCAATGGAGCATAGGCCGCCGACCAGCATTCTCCAACCCACTCTGTCCTGGGCCTTCTTTTCTAGTTCCATCCAATTCTTGTTCATTTTTCTCATGTCTATCTCCATTTCTCGGCGTAATGTGTTCTTTGGTCTTCCTCTTTTCCTTTGACCTTGAGGATTCCATGTGAGGGCTTGTCTTGTGACGCAGTTGGGTGCTTTCCTCAATGTGTGTCCTATCCACTTCCAGCGCTTCTTCCTGATTTCTTCCTCCGCCGGGATCTGGTTTGTTCTCTCCCACAGTACGTTGTTGCTAATAGTGTCCGACCAATGGATCTGAAGTATTTTGCGTAGACAATTGTTAATAAACACCTGTATCCTCTGGATGATGGCTTTCGTAGTTCTCCAGGTTTTTGCCCCATACAGTAGAACTGTCTTGACATTTGTATTGAAAATCCTGACCTTGGTGTAGGTTGACAGTTGCTTTGAGTTCCAGATGTTCCTCAGTTGTAAATATGCTGCTCTTGCTTTGCCGATCCGCGCCTTCACATCTGCATCAGATCCACCCTGTTCATCAATGATGCTGCCCAAATACGTAAAGGTTTTTACGTCTTCCAAATCTTCTCCGTCAATTGTGATTGGATTGGTGCATTCTGTGTTGTATCGGAGAATCCTGCTTTTCCCTTTGCGTATATTGAGACCTATTGCTGCTGCCACACTGTTCGTCTTCTCTTGCATCTGTTGTTGCGTTTGGGATAGAAGGGCCAGATCGTCTGCGAAGTCTAGATCATCCAACTGCATCTTAGATGACCATTGTATCCCGCGCTTCCCTTCAGATGTTGACATCTTCATGATCCAGTCGATCACCAGGAGAGAGATATATTTATCGCTGTTATATGTACTCATGTTGACAAGTATGATGAATAATCAGTGAAATAGCTTATATCCAATAAATTACATGGGTGACTCAATAATTATTTATCTGTTGAAGGCCATATATATATATATATATATATATATATATATATATATATATACAACAGGAAGACGTTTCTTTATGACCACTGTATGTTTCTAGTTAATAATTATATTGATGGAAATGACAACATATAGTCCAACACTCGACGTATAATACTATCTTTATTGTTATCATCATTTAGGTCGGAGATGAAATTCTAGAGATTAATGGGATTAGTACATTTACAATGACACATCAACAAGCTGTCACATTGATTAGATCAAGTGGATCAACTCTAAGAATTCTATTGCAACGTTTCAAAGAAAATCAATATGAATATTCATTTTAAAGAAAAAACGACGATCACGACAACAGAGGAATGCTTATAGAAAATACATGAAGATATAGACATAGGTAAAAAATAAATGTTGATAAATTTCATCATTTAAGTTTTGTATAGAGAGAATATATTTCCGAAATTGTACAGTTAATCAGATTTTAAAATTTTCATTAAAACACAAATGTACAATTCTTCTTATGCTGTTTGACTTTAAATATATGTAAAGATTAGTTTAAGTGGTGAATGGGTCTTTTTTATAATCATAAATTAACATCAACTGAGGAATTATTAGAAACTAAGCAATATTAGATAATTGTTTCATCTCATTATAAAACTCATTAGAAGTGTACATTCACAACTCCACTAAGAAGGGGATCTTTTATAACGTAATGAAATAATATTAAGAAATTGACACAAGTATTACAAGTTATTTTATCGAAACAGTTAATAACTAAAGAGGAATTTAACAAAACAAAGAATAATTGTAAATAATACGTAATATGAAATCTAGAAGGACTAGTCATACATTGATGGATAAAAATATTATAAAGTCTAAGACTTTTATGAATAAATTTCTAGATCCTTTTAAGAGAATTAAAACTCAAACAGGTTTAAACATTTTTCGTTTGGTCAACATAAACAGATGGTGATCTCCATCTCGTGCTAAGAGATTCGCAAGAAAGCACTAATAACTACTGCAAATGTTCCTGTAAGTACAGAACAGTTGGAATCTGACTAACAGTGCAATCTAGGACACGTACTTCATCCTATTTGCGACTGGTCGGCTGGATGTAGCTGCAAACCAAAATTGACTGATGTTCACTTCGTGACTCGTAACTGGTACCTTACCCTTTAAATGCCCATGTTATCCACTTAGCTACTGATTCCAAATAACATCTCACAAACAGACTATATAATATTCTCAGATTTTAGCCACAATAAAGATGGTTTACAGTTAGAGGTATAGCTTATCCTTTAACCTACTTCAATTTAAACAGGCAATTTATACTATTAGCGCTAAAATTAAAGCAAATATAACTCAAGACTGAGTAAACAAACATGTAGGTGGCTGGTTACATCAATTGAAAACATAATTTCAAGAAACTAAATCAATAAGAACATTGCTTAGAACCACTAAATCCTTGGGTGATATAATATACATGATTTTAGAAAGTGTATTATTTTATTCCTTATTCTTGTATACAAATAGTACAGTGTAGGCCTTTTAGTAACAAATAACATATCTAAACAATTGTTGACATAATTTCGCATGTATTTTACAAAACTCTGATTTTTTAAACATAACATAATATACCTTTAACGATGCATAATAAAACTTAGTTAATTGATACGAATGACTATTAAACAATTAACACAATAGAAATTCATTAAATTACATATAACGCTAAAAATCCCCCACCCCAACACCCCTCCATTCAATAATATTACGACTTAAGCGTTGCTTTATGATCAATAAATTTTACCAACCAAACATAAGATACATGTACACAATTCATTATTCTATATTTATAAATACATAACCTCAATTTTGTTCTATGATGATTATTTTTCTTAAACTTAATTTGAATACAAGTAGTTTTTGTCATTAAAAAAAAATTTATTCTCCTTTAACACATACAAAAAGAGAAAATGATACACATTGTAAAATAAGTAAATAAAAAATACAGAGTAGACGAATGAGAAGAGGGAGGGAATAATTGAAACACAAACCTAGAAGTGTTCGCATTAAAATATATCCACTAGAAATGGTACAGCTATAATCGCCACCACCACCACAACAACAACAATGATAAAAAGCAAACGAATAAATTTATTATTTTCATACAAAAGAACGATTCATTAAAAAATCCTAAGCAGAAAAAAAAGAAACTCTTTTATCTTTATTCCGCCATCTCTCACTATTCATTGCCACAGTTACAATTTTCTCGTGGTTTTCTAAGAGAACAGAAGAAATACGCTAGGAGGGAGAAAACACAACAAAATAACAAATACTAGAGACGCAAAACAATTTTCACACTATAAACTGTACATAATAGAATTATAATTAATGATAACAGTACTAGTTAAAAAGCATAATAATCTTATAAACTGAAAAACATACATCTGATTTGTTCATGATAAAAAAGATTTTTTTACTTCTGAAAGATGTTAATGATGTGATAGTAAGGTTACAGAGATAAGATGGAATGAGTTACAAATAATTAAGTAGAGTGAGTGAGTGAATGAGTGAGCAGAGGAATACAAAGGCAAAGTGGTGAAAACTGAGTTTAAACTTTAAAAAAAAGTTAAGGAGTTAACGAAGTAAAGATGAAAAATTTGCTGAGTATTTTTCTTATAATATACATTCATTATTTTTAAAAATAATCCTATTCAGTAGTATATCTAACACAGAAAATATGTATTTTTTTTAAAAAATAAGGTTAAATAAAAATTTTAATTAAAAAAGCCTAGAAACAGTACACACAAAAATACATGAATGAATGCATAAATAAGTACTAATTACAAATATTTATATCGTCTTGATCCATTATCATTCGACTGATCATTGTAATGTATCTCATTACTAATCATCATCATCATGTTATTATTACGTAATAATAGAGAAAAAGTTTTGAAAGAGAAAGAATTAAGAAGAGATTAATATACACATTATTGTTATTACACAAATTTACAGATAGTTGAATACTTACAAAAACGATAACTATGTCTGATAAAATACTAATAATGTTTTTAAAAAAAGAAAAAGGAAAGAAGAGAAAATGAAGACATTCAACTATAACAACCATGTAATATAAATATAAATATATTTATGAAGTAGAAGTAGATAATTTTTTACTTGGACTAATATTTTGTTGTTCTTGAAAAAGCCATACTTCATGAACAGCTTTTTTATGTTTATCTAAACGTGATTCTGAAGCAAGTAACATTCCACATATATGACAACCATAACCTAAATTAGGCACTGATAATACAGTAGGCCAATACTGACTACGATTTGTATGATGATGATGATGATGATTAGTATTAGTAGTAGTATTTGTTGATTTTAATGTTAGTAAATGTTTTAATAATTTTTCAGTTGATTCAAATAATGGTGAATCATGTGAACAGCCTGGACAAGCGATAGATTGTGATAATAAGTTATTAGATAATTCATTTTTATGAATGAATGATTTATTATTATGATGAGACATTAAAGTTTGATGAACTTTTAAGCCAGTTCCAGATCGAAATTCTCGATTGCACTGTTCACAAGTTACAGAAGTTTTAACTTGTGAAATATTGTTCGTCGATAAAATAGATTTTTGTTTATTGGATCGACTTGGATGAGATGAACATCGTGCACGATGTATTTGAAGGTAACGCCAACACTTAAATCCAGAACGATTACACCAAGAACAAGTAAATAATGATGACGATTCATTGATTTTTAAACTACAATCAGATGCTGGGACAGTTGTTGCATTTGAGATGATAGACCTGACATCGTCAATTAAATTATCACTTAAAGATTGTGTAGACACCGATGATCGACGACTACTATAGGGTAGACAAAAAAGGGTTAACAGAAAATTGTATTGACCATTTCAAATTTTACAAAATTGACCTCTGATTACCGTTAAAAAAAACATTTTAATCATCTTGCTTTATTCACATTATAATCTGTTGGTTTAACAAAACTTTATATTTGCACATACAATCTTTTTATTGTTGTCGCTCGTATTATGCAAACTAGTATTATAATCTCTTTAATGCATCATCACGTTTATTCCTTGTTCATATGACCTCATAGAACTAATACCTCAACAAAAAATATATATAAGCTTACCATTTAGATATTTCTTCTTCGATACGTGGATGACGAAGTGAATATGGAGAAACTGATCTATTTTTTCTTCTATTTAACTTTGATATAATAGATGGAGTTTCTATATTCCGGATACTTTGATTAGATTGTAATGATAGTCTGCGACTTCGTAAACCAAGAGAATAAGTCTTTCCAGTTAGGATAGATGAATTATTGGATGATGAATGAGTTTCAGATATTTGTTTCATCTGTATATTTTTTTAATATAAAAATAAAAGATGTAGATGAATTAATGAATATATTTGATGATATAGTTACAAGAAACCGGTGACTTGTTAAGTAACACTTCCAAAATAAATCGAGGAACGACGTTATGTTCAATGAAAATAGTTCTTTATTTCATGTAGTTGGAAAGTAAAATACAAAAATCACACTACCTATGATAGTTTACAATTAGAAAAAGAATTTCAAATTCCACTGATAGGCAACAATTTTGGACGATTTTGTGTGATATATTATAACAATGGCTTTATTTAATGCAAAAGATTTAGCTACAACAAAGAATTCTCAGAGCAAAACACTCAAGGTTGTAATGAATACCACCCGCCCTCTACTGGTAACCATATACTTGTGAATATTCAAATGAACAGATCAAAAACCTTTTAACTCCCCATCAAAATCTTTCATCATACAATATATTTAATGTATAAACTACAATGTGGTAGTCTGCAGTCTCTTTAAAGAACAAACAAGAAAGTAAAAATACTAACTCTACAATAGGATTGCAGAATTTTCAGAAGAATATGTGAGTAAATTCGATGGAACCGAATGGAAAACATTGTTTAAGATTAGCCGAATCTTTACTAAAGTAAAGAATAACATATTATAATAGCAAAACGAACATGTGTATGAACAGGATACCGCTTATTTCAATAATTTGTGCTAGTAATCGCACTACTGTAAGTTAAAAAAATAAGGAAAGCAAGATAATTGGACAAATAACTATAAAAAAGCTAAGCTATCACAAAATTATTTTCATCGATACACATCACAAGATTCAGCAAATAAATTAACACAATAATATCAGTATATAGAAAAAACGAAATAACTAAGTGAAAGGAAACATCAATCAAAATGTAAAAAGAAGCTAAAATGCATAAATCAAGTAAATCTCTTGACG